ACTTTGAGACTCTTTTGGTAAAATCAGCTGAAAGGATAGGCTATGTGTACTCTTTACTTCTTTATTATTCCAATATTTCGTCGATGTTCATCGACATCATCAGGGATAAGGATTTAAGATTATCGCCGTAAAGAAAGCTGGACAAAGTTATAAATTTTTTTTTTTTTTTTATAAAAGTTTTTTTTACAAAATAACAAAGTTCGGTACAAAGACAAAGCACAAGTGTTACTTTATGTATTGGACAGAAAGTCCTTCCTAGAGAGTTTTACATCTTTTTTATTTAATTCATAACCTGAACTTTATGTCATGTAATGTGGACAATGTGGTTAATTTCGTTTGCTAATACCTCGTATTAAGAACTTGAGGTCCCACTACTTAAAAATAACTAACTTTTGAATCTAAAGTTTCTAAACTAAACTAACTAAAGTTTCTGTTAACTCCCTTGCTCAAAGCATAATATTTTCATTGCAGTTTAATTCCGTAAGAGAAATGGTACAGAGAATGATGAGAGGTAAGTGGTTGAAGACACTGATCTACAAATTTATCAGTGGGCTGCCCTTGTTAAAAGAACAAGGGAAGAGAAGACCTCAGATAATGAATAGGAATCGACAGTTTCATCTTGATACCTTGAGTGACAGATGAGAGATTTTTTGTTGAACACCGATGGAGAGGTTTTAGTTAAATAATAAAATATACTTTACTTTTACCGTTAAAGCTTTTTTTTTTGTGTTTTTTAAGCTGAATTTTTCTGTATCTTCGTGTAGTCGTATACTTGATGCAGCGTTTTCTTAGATGTTTTTTGTTAGTGGCGTGTACCTGTAATCTATTCGGCTTTGATTTAGGGCTTCTAGTACTGTTCCAAACTCTACAAAATCAAAAGTCTTCTCATAATCGACAAGTGCAAGAACAAGCGGTATGTTGTACTCGATGGCATGCAAATGATAATTTGTATCATATCCTGCCCTAAAGCCTGCCTGTTCTTTGGGCTGATAAAAATCAAGTTAGGTGTTAGTCTCTTTGTTAAAATTTTCATAAAGAGTTTGTACATATGTGTCAAGAGGCTAATGGGTCTATAATTTTCTAATTTAGTAATATCGCCTTTTTTGTGTACCAAGACTATCACTGCATTGTTTCAGTCTTTTGGAATCGTAGCCGCATGTAAGCATTTATTTAACAGTTCGCTTACTGATTTTAATAGAATTTATTCTCCTGCTTTATTACCTCAATAACGAGTCCATCATCACCAGGCGATTGATGGTTCTTCATTTCTTTTAAAGCTGCTCTTACTTCTGACACAGTAATGGTAAAAGTATTTCCGATCCCTGATTTATGAGAGTCTTTACTTGTGTCGGGAAATTGTCTTGTGGTCGTTGGCTGGTATAGAGATCTTTATTAAACTCTCTGGTTATATTCAGAATGTTTTGTTTATGTGTTGTTTCCTTTTTGTCTTTATATCTCAGCTTGTATATATATTTTTTTAATTTGTGTGAGTTTTCTTTTCATTATCTTTAAACCTTTGTTCTCTTCTACTGGTTGAGTAATTATATTAGTATTATATCTTCTTACATTTCTTCATATCTTATTACACCTTTTTTAGTGGTCTTCTTCGCCTAAGACCTCTTTTCCCACTTTTAGTATAGCTTTTTTCATATCTGCCTCCTTCAGTTAATTTATTTATCTCTGCGTTTAGTTGCTGTTGGCAGTTGTCGTCTTTTAGGTTTTTCATGTTTATTTTGGTGGTTTTAACTTTTTTCTCTGGTTTTCTGAGTTTAATGTTGACGTTTGCTACGAATAGAGTATGGTCCGTATCTGCATCGGTTTCGTGATGAAGTACAAAGTGCAAAAACCTTTAATAGGTTTTTGCACTTTGTACTTCATCACGAAACCTTTGTTAATCGTTATAAAATCTATTTGGTTTCGGATTGTATTGTTGGTGTTTTCTTTTGAAAAATTTCACGTGTATAATCTTCGTGAGGGTAGGTTGTAGTAAGTATTTGTTATCACTAATTCTTTCTCCTGGCAATACTGGACTAGTCTATCACCTCTTTCGTTTCTTTTACCTAACCCAAAATTTTTTACATTATTTCCAGTTTTTCCTCGACCGACTTTAGCATTAAAGTCGCCCATCATTATTTTTACCTCCTGTTTCTTTATGTTTTTCGTTAACAGCTCTAAGGCCGCATAAAATTTTTTCGACCTCAGCATCATTGCTATCAGATGTTGGAGCATACACTTGGATTAGATTTATGTTTAGAGGTTTGGATTTCAGCTGAAGTAGCATTATAAGTTCGTTAAAGGGAATGAAATTTGTCACAAACTCTTTTAAATTATTGTTGATAATAATACCTACACCATGGCTGTGTTCTCCAGTGCTTTTGCCTAGGTAGAAAATAGTATTATTATCTTTTAACATCTTTTATCAACGTCTGTTTGCCTTGCAATTCTTAGAATGCTCAGATTACAAAGCAGAAATCTGAATTGTGTTTCGAAACTATTTTACGATTTTTGTAATTAGATGTCGCTAGTGCGTCCGTATTGAAGCCATGTTATTGTTGCTTCTTAAAAGGCAGAAAATATTGATTTTTCACGTTGAGAACCCCTATGAATAGCTCTTCTGACGAGACCTATTAGGTCGAAATACGTATCAAGAGATTTTACATAGGATTTGTTTGCGTGAAATCAAATATTTGCTGCCTTTTCTCATTTTATTCGGATTTACTCTGTATGAGTACTAGAAGCACAATTCGCTAAGGATTTCTGCTTAGTTGTAAAAGACATGTCGTGGAATGCAAATTTTAGATCCCCATGTCTCTTTTAACATCTTTTATCAACGTCTGTTTGCCTTGCAATTCTTAGAAGGCTCAGATTATAAAGCAGAAATCTGAATTGTGCTTCGAAACTATTTTACGATAGTATTAATTATCCTTGGTGTAGTTTCCAGAATTTGGCCCTCGAACCTATTAAAGGCCCAATATTGTATGTCTAATCTCTCCATTTTTAGCATGATTGTTGTTAATTTTCCTGCTTCATAAATAGTTCTTATATTCCACGTTGCTATGCATTTTAAATCGCTTACACTAAAATTGTTTTTCCGCCCAGGGATTCGTCGCACCCCTGTCCCATTAAAGGGACGCCGCGCACTCGGGGCCACTGTTTGATTTACATCCATTTGTGGTTGTTCTTGAGAAATCCTTTATTGTGAATATAGCATCGACAGGTCATCTGTTACACCGAAACCCTTGTTTATATCTGGGTTATCCTTTGTATCTAAGTATCTGGGTTAATAATTTCAAACGGGTGTCAAGCAACATAACATGTTCGATAGTTAGATGGGTCATTTTTGTCCCCTTTTTTGTGTATAGGGATCGTTATACTTGATTTCCAATCCTTTAGTATGCATTTCATTTTAAGGATCTTTTGGAATGGCTTCGCACTATTTTCTGTTAATGCTCTTCTTCCATATTTTAGTAGTTAATTCCTAATCGTATCCAGGAATGGAGCTTTTAGGTTTTTTTAATCTTTCTATTCTATATGCTTTATCACCTCTTTTTCCGTTATTGTTACCAGCTTCTCTTTTTCCTCTCCATGTTCGTCATTGATCTGTCTATATTCGTCCTTCTATATGCGTAAAGCTGTTCTATATACTTTTTCCATCGTTCACCTTGTATACTGTTTATGTTGGTATACTGGTTAATAGCTTTTTTTCCTTCCCTTTACCATCTTACACACTTTTTATTGTGTACCGTATAATCAAGTTTCATGTCTTTTGTGAATTTAGACCAATATTCCTTTTTAATTGACAATATTCCATGTGGTTACGTAGTGCTAGTAATTTGTGGATGTCTTATTACTTTGATAGTGGATATACGCTTTCCGTTTTTTATAGGCTAGAGTTTTAATTTTGTTGGTTAACTATAGTTTGATCTTCCTTTACCACTTACATTAACCTTTCGTGTTCGCATATGCTTTCTTTAGCAGCGGTTTATTATGTTCTTTTATAATATTTCCCATCTTTGATCTACTCAATTTTCTACTAATCTGCCGTTTTCTTCAAATTTTTCTTTCAATCGTCTTAGATGTAGCCATCGAGTTGGGGTATATTTAGTTTCTCCATATATTTTGGGGGTAATTTTTTCTTTTAGTGGTATTTTTATTAAGATTTTTTCTAGAACTATAATGTGGTCTAATCCTACCTTTGGTAATGTTTTGTTCTGATATCTAATACTGGTTTATAAAAATGGCAGACGTCGGGTGCTCATCACCCAAATATTTTTCAGGGTTTTACTTTTTCTATACACAAAGACCGGTGGTACTGCTCCTCCAGTTGCACCAACCATCCCTACAAACATCACAAATTCACCTCGCTCCTGCGAAGAAATATCATCCACTTGTTTTTGCATTTCGGGGCAACAACTTTGGCTGTCTTGTCGAGATTTCAGATCTGTTCGGGCTTAAACTTATATTTTTACCCATGATGCCCGCATATATTTTTTCAAAAATTTTTGGATTACTAGCATATTGAAAGCCATATACCTACTTATGCTAGTATTTTCGGGTTTGCAAAGCGATATATCATTACGTAGCGATGTGATATAATTATACAAAAGGTTAAACAAACCTGAGGTTCTATTTAACTCCCAACTTTTTGGTGCATTAGAATTTGTTAAAGCGAAGGTTTGGCAAACCCTTGAGTAGCGAATTGCTAATATTAATTATTTATGGTGCTGTTTCAAATTAATTTATTTGCCTTAGATATTTTATAATATTTACCTGTATTTGTATTTACCTCACACCTTAGGGTAGAGAGGTGTCCGATTATTTCTACGCACTTTAAAACTAAATTTTGGAACTGCCTTCTTCAGCATTTGTTTTTATGGCTACATTGAAGTATTCAAAAATGTAAATAAATTCCGAATATCAAAAACAATTTATACTATGAATTTTTGATTATCTTAGATTAAATTTTTAGAGGTACTTCAATCTTATAATAGAAATATATAAAAGCTAATTTTATTCTATGTTTGCCATTACAGTTTAAAAATGTTCTCAAAGGTAATATTATTTCTAGCAGCTTCTTTGTGCATTTCGTGCAGTGCGCAGGTAGGTTTTATTATTAATTATTGTTGTTGTTGTGAAATATACATTTTAAACACACACAATTATATAATATATATATATATATATATATATATATATATATATATATATATATATATATATATATTTATGTATATATATAATTCTTTGGTAGGTAACTTCCAGGTAAGAAACACACGGCCTATCACCGAAAATTTCACATTTAGAATTAAGTTCTACACCAACTGGCTTATACCAGCTCTAGCCGATCCTTGATTAGACGCTTTCCCAAAAATATATATATATATATATATATATATATATATATATATATATATATATAAATAATAAGAAGTATTTGCTGACAACGTAAGGAAGTAAACGTTAAATATTGGGTGTGCAGGAATATAAAATGATGAAACGTGTACTCTTGTAAATTTTCCAAGCTTTCGGACATTGGTTATGTCCTTCATCAGAGAGCTATAAATGTGATGAATAGTTTGTTACGTTTGTATTTTTGTTTGATTAACATTTGTAAAAGAATTTTAGCAGACATTGATAACATTCTTATAAATGTATCTGACAAAGACACCACAACTATCCTTACAGCAAGATCAGTAAATATTTTAACGAATTCAGTTAACAATTAAAAACTTAATACCACAATATTTAAACTTTTGTTAATAAAAACTAAAAAGTTCCTAAAATAAAATCCCATTTTGATAGTCACAAGATCAGATGAAGGAAACATCACTGTTATTTTGGAAAAACAAAAATGTTTAGATCTTTCTGTTGCTATAATAGAAAATGAAACATCATATACCACATTAAATAATGATCCTACTTCGTCTATTAAACAAAAATGTAATAAAGTAGTAAAATCGTTGTTTGACAATCAAAAAATAGATGAGGCCTAACTCTAACTATAAAGGTATATCTGGAAAGTTTTATTGTCTACCAAAGGTACACAAAACCCCAGTATCTGTTAGATCCATTTTAGCCTCTATTGGCACACCTACAGAAAACATTGCTAACTCCTTAACAAGTATTATGTATAACGAATGCATATGATTGTGAGAATGAATACTATATTAAAGACTCATTTCAAGTTAATAAATTATTTAACAGCATATCAATTACCAGGATACGTTATTGCGAGCCTGGATGTACCTAGTATCCTTATTTAGCAATGTTTATCTTGATAAATGTACACTTGCCATTAGTAATAAATGGTAGATTATTGCTCAACATTGTCTATAAAGACACTTTTTTCAAACTGTTACCTTTTCTGTTCGAAAGTAATTATTTTTCATTTATCAACAAATTTTACAAACAAACTTTTGGTACACCTATGGCTAATCCTATATCACCAATAATTTTCTGTTATATGTAATGAACCACATACTAGACACCATCATCCTTTTCCTACCTTATAAATTTCATTTCGTAAAAAAATATGTTGATGACATAATATTAGCATTACCAAGCACGGGGATAAATTATATAATTTGGTGTTTTAATAGTTACAACCCCTAAATTTAATTCAAATTAGAACGTGAAGATGGTACAGGTTCAGTAACTTTTTTAGATACCAAATTAATACGAAAAGGTACCCTTTGCTGATTGATTGGTATAGAAAATCTCTCAGTTCAGATAGATATCTCAATTGTTGGACATACCATAAATATTCAATGAAACTTAATTTAGTTAAGAAATGAAAAACTTGTGTCCTTAAAATCAGTGATACCGCTTTCCATAAATAAAATCTAAAATCCTTTATAACCTATTCATTGAAAACTCATACCCAAGTATACTACTAAAGATAATTTTGTTTACACTTCAGCTGTTCTTATTAGCTGTTCAAAATTTAGCCCTGTCCATTGTCGGATGTTTCTGAGCCATGATAGTCTTTTCCTTCCTAGGCCTCTCTTTCCCTCTATTTTTCCTTTCACTATAAGTTGGCATATTGGTACTTATTATTTCTCAGTATGTGGCCTAGGTATGATGTTTTTCTTACTTTAACTATGTTAAAAAGCTCTCTTTCCTTGCCTATTCTATGCAGCACTTCTTCGTTTGAGGTATGCGATGTCCATGAAATTTGAGTATTCTCCGGTAGATCCACATTTCAAAGGCCTCCAATTTATTTACGGTTGATGTTTTAAGGGTCCACGTTTCCACTGCATATAGAAGAGTCGACCAGACAGCATTTTGATAAACGTAGTCGAATTTCGAGTTTTATTCGAGAATCACAAAGCAATTTTTTTATTTTTTCGAAAAGATTTTCTAGCCTATTCTATTCTCGATCTTATTTCTTGATCAGGATTAGGCTGCTATCGATCCAACATCCCAGGTACTTAAATCTATTGACCTGTTCTAAGATGTGCCCATTTATTGTGCAAGGTTGAGTACGTTTTGGTTTTTTCGGATTGACATCACTTTGGTTTTTTTAATGTTTATTTTCATACCAAATTGCTCACAGGTTGAGTTGGTCTTGTCGATGAGTCGTTGTAGACCTGAGTCGGAATCCGCAATTAACACTGTATCATCGGCGTATCTGATACTGTTGATATTTACGCCATTCACCTTGACTCCACCCTTGGAATCTTCCAATGCTTCTTTAAATAGAAACTCGGAGTAAAGATTAAACAGCAGAGGCGACAGAACACATCCCTGTCTAACACCCCTCCTAATTTCTACTTCTGCGGCTGTGGAACCTTCGATCCTAACTCTGGCTTTTTGGTTCCAGTACAAGTTTTTTAAGAGTTTGATGTCTTTTCCATCTAAACCAACTTCTTGCAAACGTTCTAATAGTAGGTCGTGTCTTACTCTATCAAATGCTTTTTCGAAGTCTATAAAGCATATAAATATATCTTTCTGTTGGTCGTAGCATTTTGGGCGAGAACTAGTAAACTGAACAGGGCTTCTCTCGTTCCCATGCCGGCTCTGAATCCAAACTGATCGTCTCCGATGATTGTTTCGCACTTTCTATAGATAGATTTTTCTATAGATAGATAGATAGAAAATTTAACTAGTCATAATAAACAATGAAAATATGTCTTTATCACAAGATAGGATTGGACCTGTAGATCCTTTACAAAAACAAACCACAATTAGATATGTATCTCTTCCAGATATTAAATACATTAGGAATAAACTAAGTAGAATTTTTTCATCAAGTAATAATATCATAATTGCAAATACAACGATACTAACAGTTAACAAAGTTTTTTCTAAACTTAAAGACGAATCCGCAGTTTTGTCCTTAACGGATGTTGTTTATTGTATACCGTGCGGATCATGTGAACAAGTACACTATGGTCAAATATCAAGATGCCTTAAAGACCGTATTACATCCCACAAATCTGATAATAGACTACATCTTGAATGAAGTGCATTTGTGAACATACATTTAAAAATGGACATTGGATAGATTACAAGAACATCAAAATAGTAGAACAGGAAAGTAACATCACCAAAAGAATTTTTCTTGAAATGTCCTACATTTGCCAAAATAACAATGCAAATGAATCATATAACGGATATTGGCCATCTAGATGAAATGCTCTCCTATTTGTCACTACTAGATAAATGCAACAATAACACAAACAATAATGTATCAATTGATATTTAAGAAATATAAAAAAAGTTTTTTTGAAGAATTTTTTTTACAAATTAAGTTTTTTTATATTGTAGTTATTTTGTATACAAACACATACTGAGGTCATACAAAACAAAATCACAATAAATGTAACGTTTTTAGAATTATGACCTTTTGTTAATTTATTAAGCTTTAATAATTTCTTTATGTTAATTTAATAAGCTTTGTGTTGAAACATTGACAGGTTAAAATTTCACTCCTTTATGATATTAACAAATATAAAATAATTTATATTACCACGATACACCTAATAATAATCCCATAATTTGCTATAAATACTGAAAAGCCAATAATAAAAACCACTGGATTGTCGTGACAAAACCTAATGACGATAGAATAAAATTATAAGTCATGAATGTGTTTAAAATAATTAAGTAAGTGTTGTGAATGTAAAGTAATTTTTAAATTTTAAATATAGGAATAGGTTTTATACTTAACAAAGATGACAGACTGTGATAAATTTTATCAACATTATATAACATCATTGATGATACCTCATTAAGTTTGTAAGTAGCGAATTTTTTAATCAATATACAAACTTTAACAAACTATTCATCACATTTGTAACTCCCTGATGAAGGTCATAACCAATGTCCGAAAGCTTGAAATAAAAATTTACAAGAGTACACGTTTCATCAATTTTTATTACTGCAATACCCAATAACGTTTACTTATATATTAACTTATATATTAACGTTTACTTATATATATATATATATATATATATATATATATATATATATTTATATATATATATATATATATATATGTATATTATGTATATATAAGTAAACGTATAAGTATATATATATATATATATATATATATATATATATATATATATATATATATATATATTATTGACTGTGCAACGTATATTATGTTTAAATTTTGTAGGATTCAGATTTAAATGTGACTCTGTTTTACGAAGGCTTGTGTCCATATTGCCATGATTTTATTCTGAATCAACTATATCCTGGATACCAGCAATTGGGTGACAGCTTTAAATTGGATGTAGTACCGTATGGATGGGAGGTGAGTTAAAATATTGGGTTGTACATGAAAATAAAAATCAATAAAATGTAGAACTAATTCTATTTTGTAGATTTACAAAACTTATTATCATATATTTACATAATAACATTTACAGAGCATCTCAGGTATTTTGGCTGTTGTTATTGTGGTAAATAGCTCTTTTCCCTTTTGCATTCTTAGTAAAACGTCCTGATTAGTAACGTGGTCTTCATGGGATATCTTCAGGATTTGACGATGAGGCCACATTGCAGAAACGTTAATTTTCTTACAGGTAGCATCTGTGAGAGAGCACGACTTAACTTCGTACAACAGTATAGGAGAGATGTAAACATCTTGGTAACCTGATTTTTATGGGTACTGATAATTTATTACAATTAAATAGCTTAGCCATTTGTTGAAATTCTTGCTTTCTCTATACTACATCTGATTTCTAGGGAATGGTCCCAATTTTTATTGACATTCGTACAAAGGTATGTTTTGACTCTTCGTATTGGTTGACTATTCATAGTTAACCAATACGAAGAATCTTTGAATTTGCAGTTCCTTCTTAGAGATCATCATAAATTTTGTTTTCCTAATGTTTAGTGAAAGTCGATATATTATTGAACTTATGAACATATGAACTTATTTCTGTGATTATATTCATTAACGCCTGAAGGGCTTCATAACTGTCAGCTATACCACCATGTCATCCGCGTATCTGATGTTATTGATACATTCTCCATCAACTCGAATTCTGGCATGAATATTATCTTCTGCTTCTTTAAAGATTTCCTGAAAGTATATGTTGAACAGCAGTGGTGATAGTATACATCCCTGTTGGACTCCAGGTTTGATCTTGATATTATCGGACTCTCCTGCCTCTGTACGGAGGGACGATATTTGATTCCAGTAAAGATTGCTAATAATTCTTAGATCACAGGTGTTTATTCCAATATTTGTTAATATATTCATCAGCTTGTTGTACTTTGCTGTATCGAAAACTTTATGAAAGCTGTTGATCCTGCAGTTTACTAGCTGTGTTGTATTTTTGAAGACCATCTACATGCATATATTTTTATGCATATTAAATGTATCATGATTGTTCCAACAGCTCTATCTCTTTACATTGTATTGGTAACCAATTTTATTTGGCGTTTTGTATTTCGGTTCTTATTTCTCTCTAAATATTTGTATACATTATTTTGTTTTTGTTTCATTTTCTTCTTTCTTCCAGGAATTGCAGTATATTATTATTCATTTAACTTTTCTCTTTTATTTTTTTTTTCTATTAGAGTTACTTCTCTGATATTGTTAAAGGTATCACATATATTCTGAAGTGATTCTTCTGGATTATATGTTTACTCCATGTTATTTAGCTTTTCTGAAAGAATCCGTGCGACTCTTTCTTTTATTTCGTTATCTTTTAGTCTTCTTATATCATATTTTTTGTTAATATTCGTATTAGTAACCTTTTTAAATGTAAACCTAAATTTACCAATAATGGAAACATGATCTGACGATATGTCAGCACCGGGTAACTTTTAACTGATAGGCATCCATTACCGAGTCTCTTGTTCGCCAGTATGTAATCAATTTGATTCTGTATTATTTTTCCTGGTCTATCTTGCAGAGAGACCCAAGTACACAAACGTCGTAGTGGTAGATTGAAGAACGTATTTAGTATTGCAAATTCTTCTTCCTCTAGAAATACTTAATTTTTCCCTCCTTCCATTTCGCTTCCCTACAAAAATATCACCAATGAACTTAGCGCTTTTCCCATTACCAATTATTCATTCAAGTCGCTTATAATAATAGGTACCTATATCTTATTTTTTAATTTTGTTTAAGTGAATTTATCAACAACTCATAAAATTGCTGTACCTTTTCTTCTGGTTTATTGCTGGTTGGGGCATACACTTGTAAAACGTTTAATTTGACCTAAGTAGTATTTAGTTGGATTATCATAAATCTTTCAGAAAGAGATATAACATTTTTAGCATATTGACGTATTTCAGGAGATACAATTACTCTAATCCCATACATAATGTTAACCGTCATTATTTTTTGAGTGACATACTTCATTTCACTTACGCCCACTTATCTTCTTCTTAATGTGCCTATCCGTTACGAATGTTGGCGATCGTCATGGCAATCTTTATCTTATCTGCAACAGTGCGGAAGAGCTGCACAGATGTTTATTGAACCAGTTTCCGAGGTTCTTTAACCAAGATGTTCTCCTTCTTTCTGGACCTCGTTTTCCAACTATTTTTCCTTGCAGAATGGCTTGAAGGAGAGCATATCTGGATTCATTTTGCATAATATGTCCGAAGAATTGTAACTTTCGAGATTTGATGGGGGTCAGTACCTCTCGGTTCTTATTCATTATTCTGAGGACCTTCCCATTTGTGACTCGGTCAGTCCACGGAATCTTAAGTATAATCCGATATAATCACATCTCAAATGCTTCAAGTTTTCTGCGCATATCTTCGTTCAAGGTCCACGATTCAACACCATAAAAAAGGACAGAGAAGACGTAGATACTACTTATACCTACTCCAAATCTGGTCATTTCTTAAATGGTTATTTTAAAGTATTCCAGTTTGATGCATTGTCTTCATATTCCAAGTACATATTTTAATAATCAACTATAAACTTTTAAGAGACGCTTTTCCAGTTTCCAGTGATCTAGAGGTGGATCACCTTTCCTGTAAAATCTTATTAGTGTACTCTTTTAACGGTTATATTAGTTTCTTGTAATTGCTATGAAGGTATCCTTGTTCATCTTATGGTGCCCATCCATTACGGATCTTGGAAACTAACATGGCTACTATGATTTTGTTGACTAGTGCCCTAGAAAGTTCGGTAATAGTCAAGTTAAACCATTTTCGAAGGTAATAGAGCCTAGATATTCTTTTTCTTCCTGGACTTCTTTTTATATGCACCTTAACTTAAAGTATGGTCCGAAAAAAGTCGCATCTTTGTTCATTGCGTATTATATGGCCTAGGTATTCCAGTTTACGACGATGTATGGTTATGACTAGTTTGTAGAACTTTTTCGTGGGTAATTTTGTCTGCCCAGTAAATCCTCAACATATGTCTGTAGCATTACATTTCATATGCTTCATGTCTCTTCAATGAAGAACAAATGGAGAATACGTAGCATCGTAGTAAATGAACTTTTATTCCAATTTTATATCATAATTATTAAAGATTTTTTTGACGAAATTTGATCTTGCGTTCTCGATCTTCTGACCTTAATTTTCGTCGATTTGCGGTGATTGTAACCAACAAAAGTTGGTGATATCGTATTACCAACAAAAGATGGTAAAGGATGAAGGGCGATAGTGGATGCGGCGAAGACCCACCTCGAGTTGTAAAGCCAGTGAAGAAGAAGAAGAAAAGAAGAAGAAGAAGATTAAATCCTTGCATTGAAGCGTATGATGTTCCCATTGGTTTTCTGAGAGATAATTGCTTTTTTATATCTGTTTAAGAAATGTCAAAAGCCATTTGCCTAACATCCAAGCGAGTAATTGACTAATTGTTTCTCTAGAGTTAAAGGTAAAATAGTTTTTCTACCTAACGGTTTTCGTACTAAATGATCTAATGATAGCTCAGGATATGAACTAGCCTTCTTAACGTAGTTCTTGTTACAGCAAATATTTTGACTGCTTCTTAAAACCCATATGCCTATTACGAACAGCCTCTTCTGCCTTTTTCATGTCGTTACACCCCACAATTTCCTCTTTTTTTTTTCCTAGATTTAGGAAAAAGATTAATACGAGGCATCTGAAAATAATAAAGTACACAATGTAATATGGCCCCCTCAATGTGTATGTAATATGGACCCGGGTCCATAATAGTTACACATTCAGGGAGCCATATTAAAGCAATAGTTACAATATAAACAAAATATCAAAAACAATTTATATCTATTGCAAAATGTTTATAGTTACCTTTTAAAGTCGATGTTCAATGGTTTCTCTATACACTAATCAGAGAAAGGTAATGTTTATAACTGGTTTTTTCGAAAAAACAACATAAACACAAGAACGGCAAAAAGTTTTGTTAAGCACGTGAATAAAAGCGAGCTTTGTAAGTTGACTAAAGGCTAAATGTGGTAGTTCTCGGGTCCTGACAAGTTGGATAGATAAGATAGATAAAGATAGATAGATAGGTAGTATCAAGCGTAAATCAACAATGGCATTGCGGAAGTGACAATTCACTCTGGGGCCAACTTACCAGCTAGGGGCCATATTCCACCTTCTCCTCTATCATTATATCTTAGTTTTTGGAGGTTTTATTTTAAAGAATTAGTTTATGTATACATTTTTTTTTTATTTATAGACGTTTGTAAGGTATCTTAGTTAAAATTATTTTTTTGACCATTTCTTTCAGGCATTTATCATTCTGTTGGCTTTCTTCTTCAATGGTTTGATCTCGATAGAACGTGAGTTGGCTAACAGTGTTGTGTTCCAATTTGATCTAATAGTTTTGGTCTTTTTATAATCTTAAAGCTTTCTGTAGCTCTCCCTTCCCCCTCCCTCCTCTCTCTCTCTCTCTCTCTCTCTCTCTTTCTCTCTCTCTCTCTCTCTTATCCTATTAAAGAATATACCTATGGTACTCACACTATACGACCAACGTCTAGTACTGGATTCTATCTCGTAGTTAAGCTTTGTATACTTGTTACAGATGGGCATATTTATAGTGCTTTTCCAATTTATTAACAATTTTTTAGCCCTTGGGAATCGACTGTAAAATATCAGTGGCGTTATTTTGTAAAGTTTTAGCTCTCACAGCATCTTTAAAGTTGTTTAAGGTAAAGAGATTAAATGGATAAAGAAGATTTAAATTCAAACGGTGCAATTTGAATCTCATGTGTAGAATTTTTTCCATTCTTCTTATATTATAAGTAATTTTGCTGTGTCTATTTTTACCTCACATGGTGAAAGATCGCTAACTACGTAATTTGCTCTTCTAGTTTGTCTATATTTTTCTGTACCTTATTATAAACATTCTTA